AAATTTGAATCAAAATGACATTTTAAGTGATCCCTTATCAGCCAATAATCATTATTGTATAGATACCCTTTAGTCTTACAAAAAGTAATAAAGAATAGTACATAAAAAAGTAATAGATTTCACCAATAATTATACATAAATTATAAAGATCCAGATCCCACAATTAATTTTTTTTTATTTCTTTTTTGGCTTTACATCTTTCCATAATATTTACATTCAAAAAGACAAAAATTATTTTTATATTGATTAAAAAAGGAAGGGAGGGGAAATCGCGTTCGATTTAAAAAAAATGTAAAATTAATTTTAACAATAAAAAACTGATATACTAAATTTTTTCCTTTTTCAAAAAAATAAATAAAGATAGACAATTTTGTCAATTTTAGAGCTTTAAATGAATCTGTGCACTTATAAGTAGGGGTGGCCATATTACGGTTCCAGGAACCGGAACCGGTCCGAACCGAAATTGAAACCGGAGATTTTTGGTTCGGTTCCGATTCCAGTATTGTTGGAACCGCAAACCGGTGGCTCCACAAACTGGTCGGAACTGAATGGAACCGCCGGTTCTCCGGCTGGTTAGAACCGCCGGTTGGAACCGGTTCGAACCGGCGGTTCTAGCCGTTAGAAACTGTCAGATTTTTTTAAAAAAATTTTGTTGTGAAATCTCTTAATTACCTCTCCCAACAACCATAAACGGCTACATAACGGCTAGTTTCAAGAGTATTTTTGGAAACACATAAAAGATCGATCAGTACGCAGATTGTTTTTGGTCAATTTTTAGAGCTTTTTTAAATGAATCTGGGGCGACCTCTATTTTTTAAGTTTCAGGCATAGCTATTTCACTGGTGGCCACCTTTATATAATAAATTTGGTTTCCAGGAACCTCGGAACTCCCGGTCTTCCACTTAACCCCGGCACCACCCGAAAGACTTCGATCTTAACCGTCTGAGATTTTTTGGGTTTGCTGACGTTCCATTCGATCCAGTATTTGTTTTGGAAACCGCAACTTACACGGTAGGCTCGTCTCACTTACAACTCTTAAGTCACTTGAGCCAAACTAAAAATCCTCGGAAATGGAACTCTCCTCCGGCTTACTTAATAAACATGCCTCTAGAACTCTGGTGTTACAAGAAATTTCAGGAATCTCAGCACTAGTGCCGATTTAAGGATAACCCTCGGTTCATTTGCGAACCATAAGCCGCGGTCTTCTCACGACTGTGTGTTTTTACGAAAACCTGTTTTCATGAATTTGTTTTTTGTTCACAATAAAAAATTGGTGTGAATATATTCTATATCCTTTACATTCATTTAGACCTTCTTATCTATTAGCAAGACAACCTTTATCATTCATTAAATCTGAATTCTTACATTAGACTCGGCCTTTAAGTTTTCAAAGAGATCCATTATTTTTGGATTAAAAATCAATAATTTTGTGTGCAAAATTTATTTCTAATATTATCCTCTATATTATCCTATTCCATTTACAAATTTTAAAATTCCTTCTTATTATTATTATGCAAAGATACACTTAAAACTTTCACAATAATATTTTATAATATATTTTTTGTTACACAAATTCGGTCTTCACAAATTAAAATTTTAAAAATTATATGATTTACTGTAGAGAACTATAACCGATATACAGAAGCCGTCGGTTCTAATTTTGCAAAAAAAATCCTGTATACAGGACAAATTCCGGATAACTGGAAACCAGGAAACTGGATCTATACACTCAGTAATAAAAAAAATTTTTCCGGTGTGTTTTGAAAAAGATGTCCTGGAAACCGTTGGCCCACCTCAACCCCTTTACAAAATTTAGTCAAGTATTACTATGAATTCAATTTGGACAAATTTTTAGTTGAGCTTACTTACAATTCTATACCTCTTAATTATAGTGGTACACGCTTACTTATAAAGCTCATGAAATAAATGAAAGCAAGTTAGAACTGTTTTAATAAATAAGCTTGAGCTTTAGGTGTCAAGGGCCGCTCACATTATATTCATACATTAACGTAACCAAAATCAAATTTCACAATTAATCAACTACACATTTTGAAAGCCTAAATTTGGACTTTCTTTTTCTTAATCTTATACTTTTTATCCGATTTATAGCATCTTAAATGATTATCAATATTTATATGTCAATTAGAGGAGCATAAAAGTATAATTGACGAAGCTTAGTGGCAAACTTTTCAATAACTTAAAGTAGATCAATAGTAATCAGTAAAAATGGCAGGGAAATCATATTTTTTTTACCTTTAGTAATTTTTAAAGTTTCTAAGGGAAAAAAAAAACAAGGATAATAGAGAAGAGATAGGGAAATAAAAAAACTTTAGAACAATTGAACTTTTTAACTTAGAAAATGATTTTGTGCTTTTATAATCGATCATTAATTAAAATCAGTAAAAAAACCAAGAAAATTTTTTTTCTTTAAACTCGAAAATTTTTCTTTGGACCGTTTATTTCTTCTTATGATTTTAAATGCCTTTACCGTTTCTTCTATTTATCTCTTATCTCTATATCCCAACTCCAATAAAACTACCCAGTGCTAAGGTTCAATTTTTTTTTACGAACGGCTTAGAATTTGAAAAGGTTCATATTCTCTCTTTCTCTGTAAATATTTTATGTGATAAAAAAGGCTTAATTTTGCCGCTAATCTTCATTCTCTCCTTTCTAACCTTTCACACAAATTCAAAACTATAAAAATAATCATTGCTTTCTTAATTCATGACGAAGCAATCTCGCTACGAGTGGTAATGATCATAGAATATATTGTTAACCTAACAATTTACTTTTAGTATGTGTCATACAAGGCCTCCCAACAACCATAAACGGCTACATAACGGCTAGTTTCAAGAGTATTTTTGGAAAAATAATTTTTTGGATTTATTATAAATACCTCATTTTATTCCATTTACAAATTTAAAATTTTTTTTTTAGAAATAACTTTCACAAATTTTTTAAATTTTGAAAATCGGTCTTCAAAATTTAAAATTTAAAATTATATGATTTACTGGAAAACCGATCAGAACCGTCGGTTTTGAAACCGTTAAGGAATCGGAACTGGAACCGGACCGAAATCAGAAATTTTCGGTTTGGTTCCGGAACCGTGGCCACCCTTACTTATAAGATACTTGAATTCAATTTGGACGAAATTTTAGTTGAGCTTATTTGATACTCTTAATTATAGTGAGTACACGCTTACTTATAAAGCTCATGAAATAAATGAAGCAAGTTAGAACTTGTTTAATAAATAAGCTGAGCTTGAGTTCAAGCGTACTTTTTATAAGTTCCAATCAAATTTAATCAAAATTGACTAAATTTGACTCTTTTCAATCTATTTATAGTTAATTATATATTTGGATAGAGGAAAAGTATGAGAGGAAGCAAATAACTAAAGAAAGTAACAGGGAAATGATATTTTTTTCTTATTTTGGAAGGAAAAAAAAAGGAAAGAGAAAGGAAATAAAAAACTAGAACAATGAACTTTTTAATAGAAAATGATTTTGTTTTTTTCCACATCTAAAAAAACAAGAAAATTTTTTTTCTTTAAATCAAAATTTTTCTTTGACCTTTATTTTCTATATTTATTTTCTTTTCTATTTATTCTCTTTCCTATCTAATCCAAACACAGTGTAAGGTTCAATTTTTACGCGTTTAAATTGAAAGTATTCTCTCTGAAATTAGAAAAAAGGATTTGCATTTCCCCTTCTAAAATCACAAAATATAATACATGATTTAAATGACGAAATTGCCATGGGTATGTCATATATGTACCCTTATATGGAACAGGCTAGAGTCCAAAAACTTAGAACGAAAAGGACTAGTCAAGAGGTTTATAGGGCCCCATTTGGACCGTCCTGTTTGGTCAAACCCTAGTCCAAGTAACTCAGCCTGCATTTGTACCGTTGAGGTCCTAGCTGGCAAGGGGAGATGACATGGCAGGTAGGCTTTAAATGTTCTGTATTCCCATGAAAGGACAAAATTGTCCAGTAATGCCACTACGATCCAAATTACTGGTATTCTCGTAATTTGATGCAAAGTTAGGGCCTAACAGTGTGTGGGAAACTATTTTATTGTTTTTGCATGGTAATAACATGGGATTGTAATGGGGCTAACCAAATAATTAAAGGTTATTTAGTCTTTTAATATAGATTTCCTCTGCTTTATCTTCTTATGCATGCTATCATAAACAAAGGTTGTTGCATGATCTTATTCATGCAATAAAAAAAACTGAATATTTACTTCTAATTGCATCTTTACTTCTATTTATTTGCAGCTTTTAAAAATTTCAATTACTAAAATTGAGGAAAAACTAAATATTTCATTTGTTCTTTTAGTTAAATTTTAACTCACTTTTTTTTTTTATTGTGAAATAACAACGTAGACTTTACAGTGAAAGACAAAAAATGACTCAGAATAATATTATAGGTTGCATAGCAGGACATCTCTCCCTTTAAATAACATTTGATGATAACTTTTGTGGCTGAGGATTCCAACTTGAGACCAGCTCCACACATTCATGATAAAACTAATTACACAATTTTTGATTGTAAGATTTTTTTAATCACCAATAGTCACTACCACTAATTATAGTTCAGCCCTAGCCACCACTATTTAGTCATCGCCAACCATCACCGCCGTTCATCGATGACTTTTATAATTTATCTTTTTATAATATTTTTTTAATATTTAACAATAAATTTTTTAAAATCAAAATTTCTATTTTATAAATATTTTTATGGTCTTATGATTTAAAAATTTTAATATTTTTTAACTATTTTTAATATTCTAACTAAAAAATGAAAAATAAATTATTTAAAAAATATTTTTCAGAGAAAACATTTTGATTAGGAAATATTTTGTAAAGATGTGTTTTTTTTGGGAAATAAAACGGAGACCAGGTGAAGTAAGTCATTTTCTCATTCAAAGGGCAGAATCTCATAAAAAGCTTATATATTTAAAGTGTCTAAATATTCAAAAGGAAGAGATGATTAGTGGCTAGACCACGTGTGTAGTGCCCTGTTGCAATCATTCTAATGCTGGCAACACCCTATCTTTTTCTCTAACAATCTAACTTTCCTTCAAAAACAACTTATAACACACAGCCTCTTTCTCTCTTTCTCTCTCTCTCTCTCGCTCGCTGTATCTGTGAAAATTTTTGGGGTTTGAAGAAATGTTAGTTTTAATGGGTTTGATTGGGTCTTTCTTGCTGTTGCTGTTGTTCTTCTTCTTCGACTTGCTCTCTTTCTCTCTCATAGTTTTTCCTCAGTTTGTGGGAAGCAGTGGTTTTAATAAGTAGCAGTAGATTTGAAGTTCCCAACTTTAACGATTGAAGGGAAGTGCAAATTAATAATAATAAAAGAGAAAGTTAACCTGAAAAAGATTCAAATTTTTTAAGAGAAAGAGAAGTGAAAGATCAAAATTTTGATGATAACTACCAAAGTACAAAACTATTTGTCTGAGAGTGAGGTTTGAAGAAGAGGTGATCTTTGTTGTCAATACCCCCTTTGCCTAATTTAGCAATCTTGGTGATATTTGACTGCTTTGAATACCCACATCAAATCAAGTTTCCAAAAAGACACCAAAAGACACAAATAAAGAGTCATTTGGACCCATTAGTTTCTTTTTTAATTGTTTTTTTCCTCCCTTCTCCTTCTCCTTCTTCTTCTTCTTCTTCTTCTTCAGATTTCTTTAACACACTTTAAACACTTGTCTCTCTCTCTCTCTGTGTTAGCAGTTAGGAAGCAAATTAGTTGCATTTGCATGCACTTTTTTTTTAAAAAAAATAGAAACGTTGGTAATGGCTGATCAAGGTGGACATAGTGTAATAAGAGATTATAGGAAAGGAAATTGGACAGTAAGTGAGACAATGGTGTTGATTGAAGCAAAAAGAATGGATGATGAAAGAAGAATGAAGAGAAGTAGTGATAGTGAAGGAAGAGGCAAACCAGCAGAGCTTAGATGGAAATGGGTAGAAGATTATTGCTGGAGAAAAGGATGTTTAAGGAGTCAAAACCAGTGCAATGACAAATGGGATAATCTTATGAGAGATTATAAGAAAATCAGAGATTATGAAAGAAGAATAGCTGAAAAAGGAGATGGAAATGAAGCTTCATATTGGAAGCTTGAAAAAAATGAAAGAAAAGAGAAGAACTTGCCTAGTAATATGTTACTCGACGTTTATGAAGCTTTAGTGGAGGTGGTGGAGAGAAGAGGAGCGCAAAGAATGGTTACTACTACTATTGGCGGCGGTGGAGGTGGTGGGTCAGCTTCTTCCAATCAGAATGTAAGTTATATGGTAGAAAGACCCATTAGTAGTGTTCATCATCCTTCATTGCCTCCTCTTATGCAACATCAAGACTCACCATCAGTTCCAATGCCAGTATTACCTCTACCACCGCAGCCGCCGCCACCTCCTCCTATGATATACTCTCAGCCATCGCCAGCAGTAGGTACTCCCTCTCTCCGGGCTTATTTAAATTTTTTTTTTTTATCTGAATGCATTAGAACATTTTCATGTTTTAGAGTTACTGTAATAATGACTCAGATTCTGATACAAGTCATGAGCATTCAGACTCACCGGCAAAGAGGAGGAGGAGGAAAATCGGAGGAGAAGGCAGTGGCGGGACTGGCACCGCCGGGGAAAGCACATCATCAGATGAAGTGGGAAGTGCTATAGCTAAAAGCGCTTCCATTATTGCTGAAGCCATTGAGGCATGTGAGGAAAGAAAAGAGAGAAGACATAGAGATCTGTTGAGTTTGCATGAAAGAAGACTAAAGATTGAAGAATCGAACACAGAGATTAACAGACAAGGCATTAATGCCTTGGTTGATGCCATTAACAATCTAGCTAATTCTATCCTTGCTTTGGCTTCTCATAATAAGACTCCTAAATAAACTATTTTTATTTATATTTCTTCCAATATTAATTAAATCTTATTTTTTATAATTAATATTGATATTCTTATCATGTGTTTTCTCTCTCTATATATATGTGCCACTTTTAATTAGAGTCAAAAATATTATTCTTATTATCTTCTGTGTGTATATATAGATCATGTTTGTTTTATTTCATTCACTTTCATTTTATAAATAATATAAGCATCTTTCAACATTTATATATTTTTTTAAATGAGGAGCGTGTCTGCACGCGCTGCTTGTGTGGGGGTCAAGCAAGGATAGAAGCAATTCATCTCATTTATTCTGATCAGTACTTCTCAGACTGGTCAAAGGGGACCGGTCAATGATCTCTGAGGAATGCTTGGGGGGAATAAATTACGAAATTGCCATTTTTCTGGTGCCATTATTGGGTGGCAGGGTCTTGTATTCTCTTGTGAAGGCTGTGACAAAAGTTGGGCCTTCTGTGCTTTTTCCTCTCTTTATTTTCCACTCAGAATTCAGAGAGAGAAAAACTCACTATTGGCTAATTTGGTGTATTTTTCTGACAGTAGGGTGTACTAAAGTTTGCTACTTTTTATTTTTTATTTTATTTTATTTTATTTATATTTAAAGAGTGAAATTACCAATTCTTTCTTGCTTCAACCTTTCAATTGTCATATATATAAAGGATTGAAGAATTCGAACACGAGGACATTTGACACAGGAACAATCGGCACTTAATGCCTTGGTTGATGCCATTAACAATTTCTAGCTAATTCTATCCTTTGGCTTTTGGCTCTCTTCATAATAAGACTCCTAAAGCTAAACAAGTTATTCTTATTTAAATATTCTATGTATCTTATTCCCGAATGTCAGTTACACTTCACAAAAATTTTCAATATATATTAATGAATAGCCAAGCCTGTTGGTTAACAATACATAATTAATATTGATTATTCTTATCATGTGTTTTCTCTATCTATTATATATGTGCCACTTATATTAGAGTCAATTATTCTTAATTATCTTCTGTGGTGTATAATAATCATGTTTGTTTATTTCATTCACTTTCATTTTATAAATAATATAAGCATCTTTCAACATTTATATATTTTTTTTAAATGAGGAGCGTGTCTGCCGCGCTGCTTGTGCTGGGGTAACGTCAAGCAAGGATAGGGAGTAGGGCCATAGCCTTCCATCTTACATCTATTCTGATCAGTACTTTCCTCAGACTGGTCAAAGGGGGGCAGCCGGGTCACATGATCTTCGTGGCTATGGAGAATCGTCTTCCCAAGGGTGATAACCTACCCAATTTAGCTCAGAAATTGCAGACAATATTCATGTCATTATCAGGAGGGTGACCTATCTACATTGTAGTAACAGAATCAGGATAGGTCAAAGCAGAGAGGTACTCTCAGATGAGTATCTTAGCGTAATCTCTGGTGAAGCTTGACAAAAGTTGGGCCTTTTCTGTGGCCTTTTTCCTCTCTTTATTTTCCAAACGTCAGAATTCAGGGAGAAGGGAGTAAAAACTCACTATTGGCTAATTTGGCTGTTATTTTTCTGACAGTATAACTTAAAGAGGAACAGTCTCACAAAAACCCATGGTCTGAGCTACTAAAGGTTTGGGCTACTTTTTACTCTCTATTTCTTCATTCTCCTAAATTTTTCCCACACAAAATATATTATTTACAAATATTATAAGAATGACCCACAAATATACCAAGTGCTCTTTCTTGGGCTTTTTCCAAACCCTCTTCAAATACATGGTTCATAATCTAATCAAAGCCCCATTGCTAATTAAATTATGCCCTAAATAGTAAGATAGTAATATATATTGATACCTAAAAGGCTATTATATTATAATTAAGTCTTTCGGAACATATGCCAATTATTGCTTATTTCCCACTATATATTAACTCGTAGCACTATTCCTATCATTTCCATCACATTTCTCTCTAACTCACTCAATTATATGCCAACATTATTAACTTTCATAATTTATTCGAAATTTATAGAATTTGTTGCCACGTGAACTTACTTTTCCCGAATACAAAACATACTTTACACTGAATAGCATGCTCTTCTCACGAACTCTTCTACCAAATTCTACACTTTAATTGGATTCCTATTTCGAAATAAAGTGGAATATATTTTTTTATATATTTGTTCATACCATTATGCTTATTTCCCACTTCTCTGCATTTCCTCTCCTCTGTCTCTACCTTACACTTACTTTCATTTTTCATTTATAGATTTTGCGCACGTGACTCTTTCGCATATTTCCCTGCTCTTCCACAACTCTCTCCATTCTCACTTAATGGATTCCTTTTCGAAGGGATTTTTTTTTTATGTCTTTTTTTGTTTTATTTTCTTAATATGTCTGAAACGTTAATTTTTAATGTTCCTCATTTTCTTTGAAACATTTCTAATTAGAAATATTAGGAAGGATTGATAATTATGACCATAATTGTCCACGCCTAAATATTAACTCTTGCTTTAAGGTTTTCTAATTACAAAGATATGAAATATATATATTATTTTTTTCAAAATTTGATTTAAAAATAAATGTCTGAAAAATACCAACAAATCATTTAAATGGTTCAAGACAGGGCGGGAGTTAGGAAAAAATTGTTTGATGGGGCCAAACAAAATTTTTAAAAAATTTTTTTGGGGCTGAATATAATGTTTTATATTTTTGAAGAATCAAAATATAATTTTTCATACAAATGTATATGAAAAATTTCTTAAGCGACTATGGTCCTCTTAGGTCCCTACATCGCTCCAACCGGCAAGGGGATCATTTGCCCCTCCAAAATTTTGTCCACTAGTGCTTATATGTATTATGTATATTTTCTTTACTTCTCATTTAAAAAGTCCAACACTAAACAATGTTATTATTATTATTATTATTATTTAATTTGAAAGACAAAGCGGTGAGGTTTTTTTAAGAGGTATATATATATATATATATATATATAATATATATATATGTGTGTGTGTGTGGTGTGTGTGTGTACAACTCACTACGGGGAGCTATGTGTGTGTGTGTGTGTGTGTGTGTACAACTCACTACGGGAGCACCCACACGATAACACTCAAACAATCAAAATCATGTGGTAATCTAATAATCAACAATCTCCTATATCTTTAATTTTTTTTTTTTGGTAACAAAACGAGAGAAAAAATTTTAAGAAGACAAACACGTTCTAGGATAGTCGACCCCTTATAGTATCATGCATCAGCCAGGACTTCAAACCCTCATGAGGCTCACATAACAAGTGCAAACTGAAGTTGAAACTATTCTTCATTTTAGAAAGGAAGTTTGTACAATAATTTGCTTCACGATAAATGTGACAAACCTCACAAGTTTCAAACTATTGAGTCAAAATATTTATAGTAGCCACAAGCTCATGGGAAGAACCTGCAGGCTGAACCCCTCCCTTAATAAACTGCATTACCCATGCATTATACATTCCAAACAAACCTATGAAATAGCTAAGCTCCTCACCAACTTGAGCCCCTCCAAAATCACCCATAGCTTGTGTTAGAAACCGAACATTTGCCGCTTTTAATAACAAAAACCACCTACCCAACCACCAATGTAGTTCCTAATAAGCCCTCCCCCGACAGCAATAGGACCAACCACCGACCAATCTGTATTAATTTTATAGAACTGATTAGGGGAAGGGGACTAGGCTACCTAATGCAATCTTCGATCATCAGCTCTTGTTAAAATATCCAATGACCTCCTCTTCGCATCGAGCACATCATGGGCTAGACGCATAGTGTCGCTGACTTAGCACTAACCAGGAACTTGCTTGCGACAGAAAAACTGTTGATTTCTCCTATCCCAAATCTTCTAGCAACATATCCCAAAAACAACGGACCAGCCAATCTCCCTAATTCATGAACCTCCTTACTTGCTAGATTCCTTACAAACCAGCCCTCAAAATCCTCCTGATCACTGAAAAAAGACGCTAAGCTTGGAGGTTTGAGATGCACCCAAATTTGTTTCACATAGAAACAGTCTCTTAAAACATGGAAAAGATGTAACACCATCGTCTGGTCTTATAAGATTAGATAAGAAATGTCACATTCTGTGCTAGACGGCACGAAATGTGACATTTATTATCTAGTCTTACAAGGCTAGTTAATCGGTGTTATAAAAGAGACTTATGCATACCCATGCAAGTATCATAGAAAGAGGACGATGCAATATAATGTCTCATTCTTTACATATTAGTAAGAAGCTTTTGATGAAAACAAGGCACAAAAAAAATTCTAACTCGTTGCGGACCTCCCCAATGCCAAACACAATTCCATTTCCCATTAATATGAGCCTCCTTCTCATTAGCTAACTAGCTACAAGTCGATTTTATAGAGAACGAACCTGAATAGGAAAAACGCCAAAACAGTGCATGTGGACCTCTTTGAAACTGGGAGGAAGCACTGCAGCGATGAATTCCAAGATCTCATTAGGCAAATACACACTAAAAAGATCCCATCTCTAGGTAACTGTATTCGAAACGAGGCTCCCACCATGTCGTCATGCATGGAATGAGGCACAATAATCCTAGCAACATTCAAGAGAATGATCTCACTTGATGCTCAATGATCTTTCCAGAATTTCACAGACTTGCCATCTCCCACCGAAAACAAGTAGCCATTCGTCAACTTACTCCAAGACGCAGCAACCCCTTTCCATAGCAAAGAAGCATTAGTTCTTGAACCATCATCAAACCAGCTCATAGACAAGAGTTTAAGAGTTTATATTTATCGATTAAGGCTCGAGCCCATAAAGACTCATTATTCGTCAAGATACCCCATGCTACTTCAACATATAAGCTTCATGATACGACCCTAGCCAATTAACAAGTACTCTTGCAAATCAACAAGGAAGATCTAGCCGAAAGCATGCAATCACGGAAGTACCCGACAATCCCTATAACCCCCAAGTACTCTTGAAGAGAGAAAGCAAGGAATTTAGAACAAGAATCACCCTATAACCCCCAAGTACTCTTGAAGAGAGAAAGCAAGGAATTTAGGACAAGAATCAGAAACTTACCTTCAA